GCAACCTTGTTGTGAAGCTGAACTGGTGGGTCTTTTGGGGCCCATTTCAACCTGGCGGTTCGCACCCTCTCGTCGGAATTGAAAGAGACGTCGAAATCCGGCTCACTAATGCAAAGGGCTGCACACACCTTTCTTCCTTTACCCAGTTCCACATTTCCAGCTGGCGTGATTATCATGCCTCCTAACGCTCGGATCGCATCAATCCCAAGCAGCAGGTTGTAACCGAGGGGCCTTTGACGTGCCACCAAAACATCGACCTTGGCACGATTCCCTCCGTCTGTGAGGACTGATACAGTCCCAACACCACAACAGGCCTGGGACACTCCGTCAATCGTCCGAATTTCGATTTGTTGACTGCTCCATGTCACGCATCGATCTGCACTAACGATCGATCGGGAACATCCAGTGTCAACGAGCGCTGAACATAGTTTACCCTCAATGTACACGTTGACAACAGGCAATGCCGTATTTACTGACCGATTGGGGGCAAGGGTTGCGACAGTACCTTGTCCCCGGACTCGTTTCCCGAGCAATCCTGTGCTACATGGCCTAACTCTTTGCAACGATAGCAGCGTAGTCGTGCTCGGTTCCGTCGGCAGATCCCACCTCCTACGTCACTTCGGCTCCGGCAGTCCCTGGAGAAATGGTTGGATCCACCGCACTTGTAGCACTTTGGGCCCTCCCGCTGTGTCTCAGGCGTTCTCACGGCTGCCGCGACCTGTTCCATGTCCTTCAAGATGTTTCGGGTCCTGGCTAGCAATTCGTCAATTCCCAGTGTGTCCAATCTTGAAGACGCTCGCAGGAGCCGACTGGTGTCGTTGGGAAGTTCTGCCAGGAAGGCGCACCCCAGTATGCGGTCCATTGCTCCGCCAAACGGTACTGCCAGCCGCCCGCAAAGTCAGCCAGGTAGACATCCACGGTCTCACCTGCTCGAACGCCGTCCGACTAACTGTTTCCAAGCAATGAAGGGGTCTATTCCAAAGGCCGTATACAGGGCGTCCTTGATCTCTTCTAGGTCAGCATCGTCTCCGAAGTTGTTGATATCGGCGTAGGCTCCTCCTGTGAGTCTCAGTGGGATGACCAGTGCAGGTTCCTTTATTTTGGACACCCTGCAAACATGTTCGGCCTTTTCAAACCATTCGACGATAGTCGGGCCCGTGGGGAACTGGTCTGAATTCTGGGATCAATTTTTAGATCGAACTTGTCCATTGCCGAAATAGCTTGTGGGAGGTAACGCAACAACTCAACTGATGATAGCAGGTAGGAACAAAGAAACCGGTGTCGCACGTCCAACCTTCTCACAAGCCGAAAGCTCTTTGATCCCAAACAGCAAAACGAGCCTGCTTTATACAGCTGAGGACCGACCATGATTTGCATGCGAATGACGAGACAATGAGATTTCGCGTTAACTAACCGAGACCGCCCGGCATAAAATATGGGCGCCGCCATTTTGGTTCCTTTTACCATTGGGAGGACCGGAGTTTGCACACTGCACAGATTTGCACGCGTTTCCGAGGTAAACCATTTTCACAATTTTCCCCACAGAGACACAGTGTCGAACCTACTTAACGAGTGAATGGATGGTGGAGTGGTGACAAAGAAGGAAGGTAAATAGTCAAAAGTTGCTTAGAGCTACTTGGGACAGGACGATGTGGAGAGCTACAATCAACCACATCCTTTAGAGACTGAACAAATAAAAGAAGAGAAGAAGAAAACAAAGCCAATTTCTGTAATAAGCAGTGGCCAAGTAATATTCTTAAAAAAACACTTTTCACTAAAGAATGTATTCAATTTGGGTTTATTTGTAATTTCTCATTTTTGCATTTCAATGAGAAATATTTCTTGAGAAATATCCTATGCTCATGCAGCTAGCAAGAAATATCAAACCAGCTTAGAAGTCCACAGAACAAAGAAATCTTTTTTTTTTTGTCTACTTTAACGAGAACTAAACCAAAGATTTAAAAAGAGAAGGAACATTAACAAAACAAAGTTCCAAATAACCTAAATCCACCACACTAAGAGATACCCATGTACATAAGTAGTCAAGTGTTAAGAAACAAAACTTCAAAGTTTTACCTGACCCCACATATATGATTAGATATTTTCAAGATTTCCCTGTGGGAGCAGGACACATTGATGTTTAAAATTATTTCAATAGAAAATGTAAAAAAAAATGTACTGGACAAAATAAATTGCAGCTGCAACATACACAAAAGGAAATCCAAAGAACATATTGTCTGTAACATGGCAAAAACAATAAAATAATCACCTTTTATGTGCTGTATCCTTTCAGAACATGAGGAAATGTGGCTCTCCACAACTTCTTGTTTCTTGTAGATCTAAGCAATGTTTGACTCTTTACCATCCCTCTTTATCCCCACTTTCTCATCCATCTTCACAAACTCAATATAATTAACTTGCTTGATATTTTCCTTTATCCCTTTTACCTTTAATGTCATGTCAGTTTCAAATTCTCCCAGCACTCTTTCCTTATTAAGCATCTGGATATTTCAGATTTTAAGTATAAGGATATTTTTAGCTTCCCCATTTTTTAAAACTTCCTCTCTCTTCACATGTTCAGTCCATGAAATTCTTACCATCCGTTTGTAGAACCACATCTGTGTTGTGTCTTTATCTGTGAGATAATTATCTAGCATTCACTGCCATATACGGGGATTGATATTACAAAACAATTCAGTATACTTTTTACTTTGAATTATGAAATAACAATAAATAATAAAACATGCTTTTATAGAAATTAAATCCTATATATATTTTTAACCAAAAACATCCCATCTGAAGGTTTGTTTGATAAACACTAATTACTAAGGCAAATACTGCCAAAATACTTGCAAATGTAGTTGTAGACCTACCATGTGTTATTTTGGGACCATTTAGAAAATGAAAATAGTAATTCCTTTCACCATTCCCATAAATTTGAGAAAAAGATTTTTGCAAGCCAGCATGAAATTATTTTCTGACCAATGAAAACCTTGTATTAAAAAAGTTCACAACTCCATGTGAAATTACATTTTGAATCTCCTTATGGATATAAAAATAGAGGCATACAACTTCTCAGGGCTCAAAACAATTTGGGTGGCCAGTTTGATCTACACATGTATACACACTCATGCACCCACACACATACACACAATGGAAGAGAGACAGCCAGCAGCTGCCTTATCCATGCACACAATAGAAGGGATTAAACAGCAAATGCCAACTAAGTCTTTTGTCTATAAATTCACAAACACATTAGGTTGACTGGAATAAAGTGAGTTTGTCCACACATTTCACATCATACTAAGAACACTTAATTATTTGATAAAACAAACTTCACTTCAAGGAAATTGAACATTTTATTGCTGTTGTATATTTCTGAAAAGAATAAATAAATGTTATTTCAACTGACATTCTGCTTCTACTTTTCCTTAAAAAAAAAAAAACTTCTTTTATGTTTCATTTCCCCAGGTTACAACAGTTTGGAATCCCAACACTCAGATAAAAACAAAAACCTGGGTAGATAGATCCCAACACTATTTTTGAGCTTGTGTAAATGGTTGGTAGAACAGGAATTAAGAGACAAGACTTATTTACAGCTACAAAGGACAGGAAGTTAGGGAGAACCATGATTGCCTAAAAGTTTTGATGTTCTTGCCTTTTCCAAATGAGTCAGTATAAAATGATTCTAATAACCAGAATTAATATTTTTCTATATTTTCATTTCCAAAGTTTTCCCCATTTTGATTATTTCATGATTAGTTTTGTATAATTATCATTAAAACCCAACACAACATCTACAACCTCAATCTAGAATTTCATGTTCTATCAATGAACTGTTTGTTACGATTAACATTTTACTTCACGATCAAAGGTTTTATCTAATTTTCTGAGACAAGTTTCGTTAATATTAAAAAATTCTTTCCAACATAACTGTTTATTCTATTTGGGTCTGGGGAGGATTATGGCTTTCATCATTTTTTCTTTTTGTCATGTCCCAAATCCTTACAAATTTAGAAATCCTCAGAAAGAACACTAAATATGATAGATGCAAAGAGAACACTATCTCTCTGTGGAAAAAATAACGGATTCTGCTATAAATTCATCAAAGATAAAGGAAAACTTGGATAAGTGATGGAGATTCTGAAGATATAGAAACAAAGATGATAATTTTCTTTTGAAAGAATTTGTCAAATAGTAACAATAACTTGCTTCAGAAATCAGTATAATAAAAAAGAATAAAAAAAAGATACTCATCTGAAAAATAGAATAGTAACAATACCTCATGTCAGATATAAGGGTGATAAAAACAATAAAGATAAGGATGCTCATATAAGAGGATCAATAAATCTATCTTACATATTTATGTCTACCATTCGTGCTTCGAATAGAATGCTGTCACGTCTGTTCTGGTTCTCCTGTTATATATTTAGAGATTCTTGATCAAATCCAAAGAAGAATCTGCAATGTCATCAGTCCTAATCTGGCATCTCAGCTTCAATCACTTTCTTACCACCATAACTGTGCCTTTTCTATAAATACTTTCATGGTAATTGTTCCGATGAACTTTTCTATATGGTACCTAGACTTTATAAATTTAATTACAGAACTAGATTGGCGGCAAGGTCTCATTATTTTACAGTTGAAATGGTGAGCGATGTAACTATAAGTTCTATGCTAACAATTTCCTCTATTGTACTTTTCACTTGTAGAACTCTCTTCCAGCTTCCCCGTCAAATTTAATCTTCAAAAATTCAAATGCAATGTCAATCATTATTGTCTATCTACTTAATTCCTGTTCATTTATTGTTCTCTCTCCTTAATTCCTGTTCATTTATTGTTCTCTCTCCTTAATAGAGTTTCTTTTTTTTTTCTCTCATATTCTCTAACAATCATTAACACCTTGCATCTTAGTGGCTTTAATGCTTTGTTTAGGGTGAAATCATTCAAAAAAAATTTCCTTTCACAATAAATATAGAACTAGAAACTGTGTGGCTTACATTGACGTCATTTTGCTGTTTGTATGCAAGTTCCATCTTTTCAAGACGGATATTTGTCTCATCAAGCATCTTTTGAATGTTCTGTGAATGTTGTCTCTGCAGGTCGACTTTCTCCTGCTCCAGTTCGCTGATAACACTATGCAGCTGCATATAAAAGATAAGAAAAGATTATCAGGAGAGTCTGTTTACTAATGATGGCTCTAATTAGCACAATCAAAGGCAATAAGCAATTTAAAGACAAACTACAATTCCTCTCCACCAATAGATATATTAAAGGTCTGCCTGGCACAGTTCCAATTTTCCTGAGAACCCGAGGAAACACTTTCACATTTTCTTACATGGAAGCAGCTAAAATAATTTGGAAAAGTTAAATAAGTCTATGCAATCATAAAAATGATGTCATTCATACATATCAAAGTGAGAAGAAGCAACAATAAAGCTATATTGATAAGCAGTAACATTCCACTAATATCTTATTAGAATTAACAATTAAAAGGGCTTCTAGAATTCAGATTCAAATAATACTTTACACTATTAATAATAGTTCTTCTTTAATATTGACATGTAGCATCATTACTTCTATTTTATATTTTACTATTGCCATTTTTGCTCCATCTTACATATGATTATTGCTTTTTTCCTAACACACTAGGTTAATCATTTTTTTTCTTTATTATAATGATGCAAAACCAGCAATAAAATAATAGTTAATATATTTCATCCTCAATATTAAAAATAACTATTAGCAGGTAGTAAAACAAAGAAAGAATTGAGAACTGGTGAGGGAAGCATGGTAAATGATTCCAGATTTGTGTTAAAACATCAAGGCTTCCATAGCCAAAGATGTGGAAGCAACAATCATGTAAATAAACTCTTGGAGGATAAGGTGCAGATTCGAGATGTATTTATTTTCTGATTTTGTGCCATTTCATCTAGCATTCAAAGAATATAAAATCCAAAGCATTTTGATAAAAAGCAGCAATAGTCAGACAGAATAAAACTATTAATAAAATAATGGTAAAAATAAAGCATGTATAGACACAGAGTGTTAGCATAAAAGTCATAATAAAAACATGGTATAAAACATGATAAAGTAATAAAAAATGCTCCCTCCCCCTCTCTACACACACACACACACACACACACACACACATATATTTTTTTTTATGATTCTTTCTAGATTTTCAGTGCAACTGTAACTTAATTTTGTCTTTAATAAAAACACCTTAAAATTAAGTTACAGTTGCACTTAAAATCTAGAAAGAATCATAAAAAACATAATAAAATCCTGGAAAAACACGCATACCAAAACAGCATTAATAAAAATCCTATACTAAAATTAGACAAAAATAATGAAAAATTATGTGATTGTAGAAACCCTGAAGATTGCCGTTGGAAAATAAAATGCAAGAAAAATCAATGCACTATCTCATCCCAATGATAGGACTATCTCATCCATTGAGAGTCCTAACACTGATAGGATATACATTGGTTCATCCATTGAGAGTCCTAACACTGATAGGATATACATTGGTTCATCCATTGAGAGTCCTAACACTGATAGGATATACATTGGTTCATCCATTGAGAGTCCTAACACTGATAGGATATACATTGGTTCAATGAAGAATGAATTTAAAATTAGATGGAGACAACACAAAAGCTCCTTCAATAATATTAGAAATAGAAATCAGACATCTCTATCGAAATATTTTTGGCATTTAAAAGAAAAGAATAAAACTCGAAAAGTAAAATGGAAAATAATAAATAGAACAAGAAATTGTAAAACCTGGGATGACCCATGCCCTTTATGCCTACATGAAAAACTACACATTATTAAGTTTCTAAATAATGAAAATTTATTAAACCATAGACATGAGTTAACGGTTTTCTGCTGACATCAACAAATTTTTGCATTAAATAATTAGCATAAAAAAAAATTAAATTTCATAGTCTAATAAAAGGTTTAAAAGCTTAACCCAATCATAAGATAGAAAAACCCTTTATGAATTCGTCAAAAAAAACAAATTGTAGTTCAGTGCGACATATTTAAGTATGAAACAGCCCTTTATAAAAAAATAAATAAAAGGATAAATAAATAAATAAAATAAAACAAAATTCTCTAGACACTTAATGACATACTATGGTGCCAAAAGCTATCTTTTGCTGTGACTGACCAGATGATGTGCACACATGAATGCCATCATTCACTTTGAAATGGATACCCCCACCCTACCTTGGCTTTACAAAGGTGACTGATATGTGGATAAAAATTATCTCTTAGGCCCCTTACCAAAATGGGCACCCCAGCCATTTCTGTAGTAATTAATTTTGCGAATGAACATGCTTATACAGATGCATAAATTTCAAGATTGGTTATTCCTAAATTTTCACTTGAGGATGAAACAGGGCTTGATACTTTAACTCAATTTAATTTTAATAATTATATTGAGGTTTTCGGCTCTCGTTTTTGAAACATGAGAACTCTTATGTAGCGAAGGAATCATATTTTTAAAAAAATAATGATAATTTAAGCTCTACTTCTGTATGGAGCACTGTTTTTTAAAAATAAAAATAAAAACAAAAATACTAAAGAACTCTTGATTATTTACCTAACGTGTTCTTTCCTATTTTTCTACATATACACACACACACACACACACACATATATATATATATATATATATATATATATATATATATATATATATAATGCAATAATATTAAAATGGTAATTGAAATGCACTACTCAGAGTTTCATACAGAAACATCAGGAAGATATCCACCTGATGATTATGTTACATGAAACTGACTGTGAGCCCCCAGTTTATCATTATATATTTATATTTATTAATTAATAATCCTTTTGTGGAAAGGATTTGCTGAGAATTGCAGTTTCTATGAAGCTTGGCATACAGATTCGGGAGTGAGGGGTGAGTATTTTTTTTGCATGTTTGTTTGTTTAGTGGCATTTCAACTGCTTATGGTCATTTAATACCAAAATTTAATTTTCTTAGGAGCAGTAGTAATATTTTTTTTATAGAAATGTATTGATAGTAATATTTATATATATATATATATATATATATATATATATATATATTTTTACCAACACATATTGCTGGCATTTTGACTATAAATTTTTTATAATAGTGTATTGACCTGAGTTTAGGGGTTAGCTATTTGCCCATAGCTAGGACCCTAACAGGTGCTATCACCCAGGTCACAGTGAACTCAGGAACAACAGCAATTAGGAGGTGGGCCCATGCTCCTTAAAACCTCCCAATCAGAGGTCTTGCTGTTATATAGTTTATCGTGGTGGGAAGGAATGAGCAATTTTATGTTAATTATTAACATTTATTATTGCTCTATCTCTTGATACTGATCTATTTATTTGCAAGGAATAAACTTGCCTCGGGTGCATTATCTTCTGGAATTACTCTGGTCAATTCTATTTTTGGCAAAAGAAAGTCTTCATTATTTTTGTTTTTTTACACACACAAATACACACACACACAGGTGCACCCACACACAATATGCATGCACACACAAATACATGCACCCACACACACACACACATATACATAACATGGGGCAAATCGATGACTGTGCCCAAAAAGCTTTTGAGCACCACCGCTGGCTATAGGTACCACTAGTGTGCTTCATGATGGAAAACTGACAACTAAATTCAGTGAATAATATGACACAAAATAACCTGATGACCACTGAGTTTCCTTTGGAACCACATAACCAGGCTATATGGTATCCAAGCACAGCATGGCATCAGTTGATTAGTATACAGTATGACTATAAAGATAACTGTTTTTCTTTCACTTACTATCTTGGTAATTAAAAGAATTACATTAGGATGCTAACTCACCTAATTTGTTGACCATTGTGGTATGTTATTTTATCAAGATATGTAATGTTCACCAGGTATTTGAGAAAACATCTTTAGCAAGCCAAAAAATGGAAGATGACCTAATATAATGCTATGTGGTATGTGCCACATTTTAATATTCTCATTTCTCTTAAACTTATTGAGAGTATTAACATGGCAGCTTCCAATCTGATGCAGGAAATGAAAAGTCATGCTGTGCTTGTAGCATTAGCTGCCAATCATAGCAACTTGCAACAGCAAGCTTCTTGACAGTGAATAGGAGGAAAGACAGTGTTGTCACAGACCCCATCTAAATATGGCAATGAACACTAAGTTTATATCATATTTTATAGTCTTAGGGGTTGGAAGCAATGAGAGCCATGTTACAAGTCTTCAGGATCAATGTTGGCATTGATCCTTACATTGAAGTGCTCAAATTCTGGATGAAGGGAATGGCAGAACATTTTTGAAGTGGACTTTGTTCCCTCTTAATGACCAATGTCACCCAGCCAGTTACCCTGATAAGATCAAATTCATGTTTAGGGCACAGGAATGAAAACCATTTTATTCAGGCATGAAATTGCTTTTGAAGCTGTGTTGCAGCCATTCTTGAGGCTCAAAGCAGCTTTATTGAATATTACCCTATGGGCATTCTTTAGGCTAGCTCCCATGGATGGACAGACACACATACAATGCACTTTATTTATATAGAAACTTTTTCTAAGTTGAACATTTCTTTCTCTTAAGATACATATTTCAAAGTTGAAACTTGAACTCTAGGATTAGCATTTGTTTTGAGGAGTATAAATATGATATCTGGTAATAATTCAAGAAATTTATCAGACCATCTGACTCTAATGAGTGGTGTAATGCAAAACTCTGGAGTCAGTGAATGAGATAAATCCATGGAACATTTATTGATTTATTATATCTATCTATCTAACTATCTATCCATCTCTCTCTCTCTCTCTCTCTCTCTCTATATATATATATATATAATGAGACTGCATCATAAAATTTGTAGCCTAGTCACACATATACCTATAAGCTGGGTTTTGATTTGAAATTTAAACTTCATGATATTATATAAAATTCATTTGATATAATTTATATTTACTACTGAAATAATTTATTTGGCTTATTCACTAGTGAATATGAATTAAGTGCTTTTACAACAAAGATTATAATGAAAAGTAAATAATTTATTGTGCAAAGTAAATGCTTTCCCATCATTAGAATATAGACTTATGTGTGTGTATGTATT